AATAAACGCGACAGAAAATCGAACATCATCCTTTCGCCGCGAAACACTGGAAAATACAAAAACAAAAACTATATGCCTGAACAAAGTGCAAACTAAGGCGGGCATCGTCTCTGTAGCTACTGCGGTATACTTAGCCGTATATCACCAATCTTTAAGCAAGATCTGACTAAGCCGCTGATCTATCAATAGTAAACACGTCTGAGACAGTAGCTGTTGACGTTTACCACGACATATTTGTTGGTCGCACAAATTTCAGAAGTTAAACTTATATTGGTGCAACGCTAAGTGTTGACAAGAGCTATCTCGTTTTAAACGGCAGTCAGGAGCATAAGTATGAGGCGTTCTGTATATATTCTACTTATCTACTGACGTTGAGTCTGAGAACATTTAAGAGCACGGCGGACAATGGATCGACCCCGAGCCAGATTTTTCTGCGGCCAGGTAGTAATCAAAATGACGTCAAAGAATTTTAGAAAAAGGGAATGTCATCTGAAACTGCATCATCTCATGGTCACATTAGCACCATCAGACATTGTCAGTGCGCATCACCTGCCTTGGTAGCCGTGTGAGGGTAGACGGTTCGAATCTGTTCCTCATATCATATGACAGTGGATAATGAGCTGGAGTCAATCAGTGCTCAGGTAGTCACCTTTGCGATGGTAACTTAGACACGTGGCAAGCATGAATGATAATTCATGCTCACAAGGAATACTCGGTGTTTTAATGTGTAAAATCAAGGATCAGCTCACACATTCGACTTTAAAGATACAAAACTTAGATTGCTCATAGTGCCACAACGAGGTCAACGGTGTTTACCATGTGTCCAAAGTGGCAAAGGGAAAGCGATGGTCTCAAATCTGGTCGATAGGGGTACATCATACGGCTACGTACGGTACAAAACAGTCATCGATCTTAAAACAGTTACCGAACCTGACGACGGCTAATGGTGCTGCAACACGAACTATTCTAAGAGATTATCGACCGCCACAAGCAAATGTACGTGCAACATTTTCCCACCGCAACAATGCCTGCATTTTTGAGTGATGGTGGAACATTAAGCGTACCAGACCTTATGGTATTAACAGGTGAAGACCGTCTGTGAAAGTACAAGGAACCATATGCATCGTCATAAACATATATTATCATTACACCCTAATAATATGTATGAATAAAAATTTATTACTGAAGAATTTCATTTTTCAGTGAGACAAAAAATACCATCGATTAAAAACACCGTATATGTCACAGAACATGAACTTGTTCTTTGATTTTTAGGGATATCAAAATATTTAACTTCACTTTAGGCAACTGAACGAAGAAATAGTCAGCAAAATTGAACCTGAAATGGAATTAGTGGTGATTTAATAGTCCCGCACGTTTCAGTGACATACCAGCACCGCGACGACGACCTGGCCAAAAAAACGGCCTCAGCCATCAAAGCTAAACCGCCCAAGACAAGAAAGAAACCATTTACGTTTATGTCTCATTTGTCAACAAGGACAGTAAGAAAGAGTGAAATCCTGAAGACACTGGCCCATCGCTGTGTTTTGAATATATATTGATGACGAAATGCGAATCTACGTATATCTACTGAAATAAACCTTTCTGCTATGGAACCACGGTCGAGTGTCATAACTGGAAAATTAAATGAATGTGGCTAATTATTTACCCTCGAACTGCACCCCTGAAATATTATTAATAACTGGCATTAGCAATGAGTTGTAGCTGAAGTATGCACGTTGTCCTGATTTTCATGGAACGGAGAATTCAATCGCCTCTCCTGCGTGACGAAAACAAGATTAAAGCTCGACAATCACTCACCACTGTTCGAAAAGAACCTTAAATTAGTGTTGGCGCCTTCGGTAATCGTCTTGTCAAAAAACTGCGACGTAGCCTCACCGAAAACCAACTGAAAACATCGTTCCAGATTGGCACATATCGTTTCGGCCAGGTCCTGCGAAATGAAGCATGTAAATAATTAAGAGCCGAAAAAAACAAAAAATTTGCATTTTCACCGGTGTTTCGCAAAAGAGTATAGCTAGATCAGAGATGTCCTTGAAATGACCGACTTCGCCTAAAAGAACAGACTTCAGGCGTCATTAATATGCAAAAAGCATATTCATTATAAGCTGATAATCACAAGAATATGTCAAAAAACAAATCACTCATCCAAGCCCAGATTCCAAAAAGAATATTAATGTAACAAAGAGAAACTGAAACTTAATTAGAAAGTTCTGATATATATTCACAATCTTCAACAGCCGCAATAGGATGCCGGGGGCAGTCTCACGAGAGAAGTCTCAATGCAAAGCTGCATGGTAAACCGCGAAGGAGCAATATTACGGTAACAGCTGCCTACAGTATTTCGGCAATAAAAAATCTTGCAAACACTTTTAGTGTAGGTTGAGTAGAAAATTAATCGCAGACATGTATTTGGCGTTTTGCATATTCGCAACTTGAAATACACTTGTTAAAGATCATTTGTTTGGCAGAGAACCTGGACCGTCAGGAAAGCCTCCTAAAGCTGCCGCAAGAGCAACCTGAAACCATTAACAGACTATAAAAAGATATGAAGGAAGCAACAAAACATGACAAACATAAGTTAAGGAAGTTAAACGATAATGACTTAAAATGGTAAACATAATCACCTATTTTTAAGCCGATGATGTTTCGTGAATCCTCTGTGACAAAACACACAGCAGCCAGCATATGAACGGGGATAGTTAAAAGGGTCTCCTAAAATTGTAGTCTTGTTAGTCGATCATACGTATATTTAATTTGTGCTGGCAAGCATTTATTCATAGAGTCTATGTCCTAATGAGCACAGATTAAGAAGTAATTATTTGTTTCGAGGTAGACCTGATTTAAAAAATTTCAAAGAAATTTCGTTAAAGGTAAATAAAGACAGAAGTCCTTATTATTCGACATGCAGTTATCACATTGTTCCCACAGTCAAGTTTACCTTAAAGATATCGGAATATTTGTGATGTGCTCGCGAGTCGACGATTATTGAGTCGAGTAACAGCTAACATCATGTTAACTTTGATTACTAAAAGAATTGCTACAAATTTTTCTCTCAGTTGAGTCATTAGTTAACAAGAAACAATATTAGTGGGAAAACACGAGTGCTAACGAAAAAATCATATTTTATAACATATTCTATATATCTTGTACGACTGAATAATGTTATTCAAATAAACAACTTAAGCTTTAACTTGATTTCACAGGGCTGCTTATGCATTTTTATGGTTAACATTCCATTTATTTTCATTCTTAGTCCTTACTGCATATTTAGTGATAAACAAAATAAATAGAAGTGATACTAGAAAGAGAGTATGTCTTCTCGTCACTTGGTCAGCAGTAGAGAAAACGAGAAATAAACACTTTATTGAACATCGATCTAAAGTTTCGACCGAATTACAATCGGTCCATATCAGGCAAAGTTTGGCAAGCGTGCATTCACACGAACTTTCCCGCCATGGTTTTTTCTTCACTAATGATGACATCGATGATAGTTAATTGCAAGAATATAACTGCTCTGCAGATAATAAAAAAACAGATTTTAATTTCAACTTCGATCTGAACTTTTCTAATCGGTCAAATGGCAATGAATGATGCTGAGAAACGACTGTGAAGTTCTTTCCAACGTGATCAATGAAATTACTGTTTGAATAGGATGGCCAAAGAATTGGATCTTTTAGCAAAAAATTAAAAGATGAAATCTATGAAACAAAATTTCTCTTACACACTCAGAAGCTTCGAAAGGGATAGGTGAACAGATGAACCACCGGTGAAACTGGCACAAACCCACAAAACAAAGTTAACAGAGACAAATCAGATGAAGAGTGGCTAATGTCAGTTGAATTTCACAGAACGCGCAATGAGGATGGGATTATAGATGTTCGACTAGTTGCGTTCTGGCAAAAATATTGACATACGCCGATTTATCTGATGAAATTTCTGACAAGCATATCGCCAGTTTTCACTCAATGGATGAGTTCTCAAGGATCGGTTAGCCCAAGCGAGCAGCATGAGAATTCGCTAAATGAAACACTTTCTTCAGTAGATCACTCCACGAAAAGCGATTTATTCAAGACTTGTGTCAAAGGTCAATTTAGGACCTTAAAATTGCATTTAAGCACTCGTCACAATGTGGTAGAATAAACGCAAAGATAATTCCACTGTGCCTGTGTGAACTCAGCCAAAAACTGGTAGGAGATCGTTGATCTGCAAACACTACGGGCAGCGTGGTGATGAGAAAACGACATTGCAAGACATACGGCTATGCAGTTTTGATGCGTGCTTTACGGCTGCGGTTCGCATAGGGACTGCATTTGAAAACTGACAAAAATCAACAAAACGTAGAATCGTAATTTAAACAAATTTTAGTTAAAGATTAAAATGAAATTTTCCAACGGTGTATGAAGGTTTCTAACACGCCTTGCATAAAATGAAGCCTGCAACATCTAATACCATATGAGTATATGAGTGCATGTCATGCAAGGACAGATAACGAAACGGCGCGCATTTGAAGGCATGACACGAAGTGATACGACACACTTTAACAAATGAGTTTTTGCGTGAGATTGTTTCTCTTATATAGTCGCGTTTTTGCATTTTTCTTCATCTTTTCTTTTGCAAAATAAAAATCTCCTGTACGATTGCCGGATGTCCAACCTAAATTTTGAATCTAACTATAAGGAAAAATATTTTCGCACCACGCTCTCTTCAGACATAAGGTCGTATTCCAATAACTCAATGATCTCTACAGATAACCATGTAAAGCAAGTTCCTACAATACGTAGGCGTCTG